TGTTTTTTTTTGTGTGTTTGTGTGTGAGAGAGAGATATATATATATATATATATATATATATATATATATATATATATAGATCTTTATTTTTTTTTTTGATTGATATATATATAGAAATATATATAAAGTCTTTATTTTTTTCTTTCTTTCTATATATATAAAAAAATATATATAAATATAAAGAAAGAAAGTGTAAGTGTGTGTGTGTGTGTGTATATATATATATATATATATATATATATATATATATATATATATATATATATATATATATATATATATATATATATATATATATATATATATATATATATATATATATATATATATATATATATATATATATATATATATATATATATACAGTTAAAGTCAGAATTATTTGCCCCCATATAATTTTGTTTTCTTTTTAAAATATTTCCTAAATAATGTTTAATAGAGCAAGGAAATTTTCACAGTATGTCTGATAATATTTTTTCTTCTGGAAAAAGTCTCATTTGTTTTATTCCGGCTAGAATGAAAGCACTAATATTACACTTAATTTTTAGGTCAATATTATTAGCCCTAAATTAGGTCAATATTATTAGCCCTTATTACATTATTAGAAATGTGTTTAAAAACAAATAAAATCTTCTCTCATGTAAACAGAAATTGGGGAAAAAATAAACAGGAGGCTAATAATTCTGACTTCAACTGTAAATATATATATATATTTATTTTTTTTTCAATTGGCTACAAGACAAACCAATAAACCTAGTCAAATATTATGTGCTGTCATCATGACAAAGAAATCGGTTAATTGAAATTAGTTGTTAAAACTTTTACGTTGTATAATAACGTAATACGTTTTATAAAATATATAAAAGTAGCACTTATATTTCATATATTTAGCTTTCAACTGTACATTTATATCAAAAAACAAACGGTTTGTACATAAATGTGTTTCTAATACAGTATAATGGTAACTTTTCGACATCTTTAAAGCATTTCGACTTCATTTTACATTCTCTTATTTTGATTTGTGTTTGTTAATAAAAGTCCTCTTTTCTCATTCAGGAACCAGGAAAATACGTCAAAATGTGCTGCAAGGGTTTCCTCAAAGTCATGATGTTTGTCTTCAACGGCATCATCTTCGTGAGTATAAAATAAAATGTTTACGAGTTCTTTGACAATGAGGACATCTATTTTAATGCTTTTATGACCGAGCGCTTATCTCTGAGCTACTTCTACCGCAAAACCCCCAGGTTGAGTTACAGACACTCTTATCGAACAAGGAAACCCATAAAAACAGCGTCATGTTTCGCACACAGAGCCTTTATTATAGGCTTTAACTGTAAAACACTTGAAGATTACCTTAACAAGGTCAGCGCTGACTGAGGGCGTTTAGTAAAGAACAACTAACTTAGACAATCAAACTTTTTCTGTGACTAGAATAAAATGAAAAGACGTAAACTATTAAACATCTGGAATCTGAGGGTTAAAAAAAAACAAAATTTAGAGAAAATCCATTTGGAAGCTGTCTTAATGAAGTGCTGTATATTAGTATTAAGGATTGAGTTTTGATAAATTTTCATACATGCAAAATGTCCACATGAAACATGATTTAGACTTGAATCACTTGATCAAAATTTGTTATAAACAAAAACAAGAGCCCCTTTACACCTTTAAATGATATCTTACTCTTATTTGCATAACCTAAAATGATGGAGTACGCTGCCATAGATATATACACTAGATATTGCATAGGGACCCGGAGCATGCGTCAATAGTGCGGCCACATTGGTACAGTGCTCCCAGGACAAATGTCATTCAACCGCACTAGTCAAGACAGTGTTATTATTACGTGAAGATGCGGGACTTTAGCGCTGTCTACGGGTGTAGTTACAAGCAAACAAAGAAAACAAAGCACAAAGGCAGAACATTTCATAGCTAATATTAAGTTTTTTTGTTTTTGTTTTTGTATGTTCTGAACTTTTGTGCTAATCAGGTAACGTTATTGATGATGACAGCCACTTACTGCATTCACCATACGGCAAAGCAGCTCCAACTCGCACTAAACACTCGGCTTATGCTAGTCTTGTTGAATAAAATCAGCAAACAATGCAAACGAAATATGACAACGAGATGCTGCGCTGCCAGAAACTTGTATTATTGTCGGCTAACGTTAGTGAAAGAGTCGTTCGGGGGATTCATTCACAAACGAATCGCTCCCTCCGTCAGTATGAGAAGTGAAAGCAGGAGAGGAGCTGTGTTTCAGGACATGATTAGATCAAATTTAACAGGGAGGGTGAATAGTACATTTCTGTACACACTAACACAAGCTCTTTGTCAGGAATGCCCGTGCGGTCACTGATCCATCAATGTAGAAAAGTGATGTAAAATTTAAATTTTTGTAATTAGAAAAAAAAATTACACACTAAACATCCAGGAATACTCCCGAACACAGATATATGTGTATATATCTGGCTTTGGATGGCCACAGTCCTCCACTGTACCTTGGTCCCGCATTCATTTCAAAGGAGCGCTTCCCTGTAGCAAGATGGCGGCGCTATTGACGCATTCCGTCCAATAGACAACAATAGGCCAGGCGACATCTAATGTACATATCTATGGTATGCTGCTACACTTCATCTTCAAATACAATTTGACTATTGAACACGTTCCGATATGTAGTAGTGTTCAGGGGTGATAGTCTTCACTGTAAATGCCCTGAGAGCATCTCTGCTGTTTGGAATGCACTGAGAACAACTGAGATATACAGTTGAAGTCAGAATTATTAGCCCCCCTGAATTATTAGCTGCCCACATTTCTAATCATAATAGTTTTAATAACTCATCTCTAATAACTGATTTATTTCATCTTTGTCATGATGACAGTAAATAATATTAGACTAGATATTCTTCAAGACACTTCTATACAGCTTATAGTGACATTTAAAGGCTTCACTAGGTTAATTAGGCAGGTTAGGGTAATTAGGCAAGTTATTGTATAATGATGGTTTGTTCTGTAGACTATCGATAAAAATATTGCTTAAAGGGGCTAATAATATTGCCCTTAAAATGGTGTTTAAAAAATTAAAAGCTGCTTTTATTCTAGCCGAAATAAAACAAATAAGACTTTCTCCAGAAGAAAAAATATTATCAGACTTACTGTGAAAATTTCCTTGCTCTGTTAAACATCATTTGGGAAATATTTAAAAAATAAACTAAAATAAAAAGGGCTAATAATTCTGACTTCAAATGTACATTTCACCGGTGTTGGAGGTTATTACTACAGTTCATGTTTCAGCTAATAATGTGTTTTCTTTAAATGCTGTGGTTTTTGGGTGGGTTTTTAATCAGCAGTAATAAGCTGTATGTCCTGGAGTCCATGGCCAAGGCAAACAGTAGCGAAGCCATGAATAAATATACAGAAAAGGAAGCCGAGACAGACATGTTGCAGATGTGTAGGCACAAAACACATTTGAAGGTATCATCCGAAGCAGTTCATTTTTTAAGCAACAAATCAATTTCATTTAGTCTCGTTTAAATGTGCTGCGGATGTGAGTGTGACCATACCGCCATAAATATGGTGGAGAGCGTAGCAGAAGTGACGTTTTTTTCAGAATGGCGATGGCTAGCAACTTTAAAAATAAAAAATAAAAAAGAAACCTCTGGTGAAAGAAAGAGTTAAAAGTGCAGTAGTATAGTAACCTCAGTTTCTCCCGTCTGCAGCTGGCGGGCGCTGCTGTCCTGGCGGTGGGCATCTGGGTGGCCGTGGACAGAGTTTCTCTCCTGGGTTTTCTGGAGCACATTGAAGATGCTCCTCCTGAACTGGCGCAGCTGGCCAACATCGGGTACCTGCTGATCGGAGTCGGGGCGTTTCTGGCCATCATGGGCTTTCTGGGATGCTGCGGAGCCGTGAAGGAAAGCAAATGCATGCTTCTCACTGTGAGTTACTGCTTTACATTACAACATTCGCTTATGGCTGCACAATATGTCAGCATCGATATCGCAGTGTGTGCATCTGCAATAGATTTAATCTGACTTATAGTTGAATAACGAGCCACAGTTAAAAACAAACATGACTTGTGTTGCCTCTGGACAACTTTATCTTTTAAAACAATGTTGAAGATGTATTTTACCACCCAATTCTTTGAATTATTGTGTGTATTTTCATATTGTTTGTATCAGTTTGTTTTATATTTGTCTTATTCCTCTTAATTTTGCTCCAATCTTGTGTATGTTTAGCACTTCGGCCAGCTTTGGTGTGATAAATATGCTGCAGTATATAAATACATTTACTTATTTACTTGTGGAGTTTCACATTTAGGTTAACAATACATCTGTCATTTGCGTGTGTTTTTAAGGCTTGTGACTGTGTGAGCATTTCAAGTCACTTTAAAGAAATCATTTTAACTTTAAGAAAGATATATCTAGTTGCTACAGGGCCCTGCTGAAAAATCCAGCTTAAACCAGCCTAGGCTGGTTGGCTGGTTTTAGCTGGTCGACCAGGCTGGTTTTAGAGGGGTTTTGGCCATTTCCAGGCTGGTTTCCAGCCATTTCCAGCCTGGTCTTAGCTGGTCAGGCTGGGAGATGACCAGCTAAAACCAGCTATGTCCAGCTTAAACCAGAATGGTCAAGCTGGTTTTAGATGGTTTTAGCTGGTCACTTTCCAGCCTGACCAGCTAAGACCAGGCTGGA